CAGGAAAGTGGTAGCTATGTTCTCTCCCGAAATTGAAAGCACATGAATTGGAAATTATCCAACGCCTGATTTAGGAATTGGCACCATGTTCTAACGCATTCAAAGTATGGGCGGCAATTATGTGACGGTGAAAAGTGTACATTTTTAACAGATCATTCAAGAGTTTAAAGTATTACCGACAAAGAAGGACTTGAATTCAAGAACGGAAGTGGATGCAGATTTTGGCTTAAATATGAGTTATGCATTAATTTATATCGGGCAGAGCTAATGTGGTAGCTGATGCCTTACCGACAAATCATTGTTTGCTTTGAGAGCAATATGGAATTAGCATGGAGTTGCAACAGCAGGGAGTCTATTCTAGCACAGATGCAAGTCAGCATCTTGGGTTCAGGGAAAGTTGCAGAGGCACAAAGAAAGATGCAGCAAACAGCATATGGGTAAAACAGAAACATAGGAAGTAGTGCATGGTGGAAAATTCAGATTGGAATAACAGTGGAGTCTTAATCTATGAAGACAGGAGTTGTTGTACACAGATAGGGGAGCTTATAGACAAAACAGATTCTGCTATGAGAAGTATAGACAGTCCATACATCATCCAGGTAGTACAAGATGTCTCAAGATTTGAAGAATGGCATTTTGGTGGCCAGGCATGAAGAAAGATATCGAAAGTGTTGTAACAGATTGTGATTAACATGCAGCAACAGTAAAGGCCAGAACATACAAGACTGCCAGCTGGGTTACTTCAATCCAATAACAAGTGCTAACATGGAAGTGGTGATTCAGATCACGATGGATTATTGTTACTGGATTAACTCAGACGCAGCGAAGCATGATGCAGTATGGTGTGATGTGGACAAATTAACTAAGGTCGCACACTTCTACCAGTATCGGATGGACTATTCTAGCTAGACAAGTTAGCAGAATGTATAGTACGAAATTAGTTCGACTCCATGTGCGTTCCATCATCCAATTATATCTAATCGTGATCCAAGTTTACATCGAGTTTTTTGGGGTAAACTGCAGGAAGCATGATAGGAGAAATTGCATTTCAGCACGCATTCATCCTAAACAGATGGCCACATCAGCAGGAGTCTTCAAATTCTAGAAGACATGATGAGATCAAGTTTATAGAATTTGAAGGCATTTGGGAACATGATATGTACCTCTTCAATGGAGTTGCTACAAACACCAAAAGCTACCAATCAAGCATTAAATGCACAACCCTATGAAAAGCAACTTGACTATGTCGACCATGTAGGAACACAGATGTGTTGCAGAACAGAGTGAGAAGGAAGATTTTGGGTCCAGAATTTGGTAGACACAGAAGAGAAGAGTGGACATCATCAGAGTACGGCTGAAAGAAGCAAGTGATCGACAGAAGTCTTATTGTGATTTAAAGAGAAAGGATATGGAGTATCGTCGTGATAAGGTTGTTCTGAAAGTTTTCACCAGGAAATAAGTCTAAGGTTTGGAACGATAAGGTAAGCTTAGCCTAGGTTCATTGTCCATGACGAGATTGTTTTGAACGTTGTAGGAAACTTTAGCCTGATCGCCGTAGGTTACTTCAACCTTAGATTCGAATCAAATGTCTTTACGTATAAATGATTAAGGAGGTATCGATCAAGACCATCGCACGTGTCTATCAGCAGAAGAGATTGAAATTCAGCGACTCATTATGAAGAAGACGCAGTTCAGAATTTAGCCAGAGAAATAAAGAAATACGGAACAAGAAATAGATTGGTAAAAGTTCTGTGGGAATCATAAGAACAGAAGTAAGAAACTTGGGCAATCTGAAGACACAGATGCGACTCCAGTATCACATTTGTTCACACAGGGTACTTCGGACGAAGTTTTATTTTTTAGGAGGGGAGAATTTGTGACATCTACCGAGTCGAGTCATTTCATTGGAGTCGAGTTGAGTCGGGGCCAAAACAACCGGTGGGGTGGAATGGTTTATATAAGTGGATTACTTGAGTGGA